TACTCTAATCTAGGAAAATCTACAATTATCCTACAAAATAAGGACCAGTAACAATCACCACAAAACAATCATCATCTAACAATATGAAGAAATAGGTTAAATGATGTGAAATGATAGAACAGTACCAGCGATGGAAATCCAAGTTGCAGGAGATTGCATCGATGCAGTTCATGGGAACGCCCAAACGTCGCGTCTCAAGAAGAATCGTTAACGGCTTTCTTCGATAGTGAAAGGGAGAGGAGTTTTTAGAGAGGCGAAGGATCGATTTCTCGTCAGAGGGTCTTCGAAAGCGTAGCACCTGTTCTTCGCGAGAGAAAGAGAAGAAGTAATGGGCGTTACGAGCTATGTAGATCGTGAAGTTCATTGGAAACTTGTTAGAAATTGATACCTGACATCTTCGAGGATTGACGTTCTTCTGCGACTGGTCGAACGCGTTTTGAAAGCATCCAGATATTGTCTTGTTTAAATTAACTGGTAATTGCGTTAGATGCTCTGTTGCTTAGAGAAACGTTAAACTACTTTGTGGTAGATAATTCTTAGAAGAATTGCGAAACGTTTCTTTGTTTCTTCATTTTAATAGATTGCTAATGCATTAATTCAAGGTACAGGTTGAAAATTACTTGATTGGTGTATTATTCATATGAGGAACTGTATGATTTATGTAATGTTAACTCTTAATCATCATGGTTCAAAAATAGTTGAAAATGACTTATTTAGTATATCATCAATATGAAGAATTATATGTATGATTTATATAATATCAACTCTTAACCACCATGACTTAACGATAGCTGAAAATTACTTGATTGATATATCATTAATATGAAAAATTGTATGGTTTATATAATGTCAACTCTTCACCATCATGGTTCAAAAATAGTTGAAAACAACATAATTACTATATCATTAATATGAAGAATTATAATATGATTTATATAATGTCAACTTTTAACCACCATGACTTAACGATAGCTGAAAGTTACTTGATTGATATATCATTAATATGAAAAATTGTATGATTTATATAATGTCAACTCTTAACCACCATGGTCCAAAGATGTACAGTATCTTTATATCTAGTATAGATGTATTTCATATTAGCTTCTAATGTATTATTCTCATATCAAAGTTCTCAGAGTAACATATGTAGCTTAAAGTAAAGGAAGTATAGGCTTATCTTTAACTAGATCAAATCTGAAGCTATTAATGGTACTTAAGGGTTAATATTACACTAATAATCTGAGGTGTTAAATTGAAAGCTCTTAAGCATATGATATGCTGTACCACTTACGTCCATTTTCATTGCGACAGTTAACCCTTAACTGTCATGATTTAGAAACACAATATCTACAATCTGATACTGATTTTTACATACTACTCTGTCATTTGCATTTGTATATACTTATTAAGATGATTCTTATTATATTCATTGAATCTTCTAATCATTACGATCTAGTTTAGAGTATTGCTTAAACAGGATCGAAGCTAACCATGATATTTACGAGTTAACACTACAAATCCTACGTAATCTGCGATCATTAAGAACGAAGTACGACGAAGTCCAAATGTCTTAAGTTCACCTAGACTTAATTACGCAATTCCGACTGCATCGTTCGAAATTTTGATCAAGAAATCGTGATGGATCATGTATCGCGCAACATCGTGATGCAACCACCGTAAATCCAGTATTCTTGTATGTGTGTATACGCGATTCGCAGGTGTACAGCGATTGTCAGATCTCCGGTGATTTCACAGCCGATGGGCTGATTCTTATGGGGAGAATAACGAAGAAAGCAGAAAAACCATGGTCCGTGTCGTGCACGCGATCTTCCGCTATGAAAATTGTGTACATTGCTACTGTCTGTATAATTGGAACGATGTCAGTAGTACGGTATCGTTATATCGAATTAGATGATTCGTTAGGGAATGGAAATTTAAATGGACAGTAATGTGTGTGTATTTTTGTGTTGAAGGAGGAAGTATGGTTGAATGCTTTCTTTGTTATGGGAAGTTGAGGGAAAAGTTGTGTAATATTGTTAGTAGTCTTTTCTTTGTATTGGGGAGTTGGGGAGTTGGGGATATAGAGATTTAGGGGTGTGGAGATTTGGGGATGTGGAGATTTGGGGATGTAGAGATTTGGGGATGTAGAAATTTGGGGATGTAGAGATTTGGGGATATAGAGATTTGGGGATATAGAGATTTGGGGATGTAGAGATTTGGGGATGTAGAGATTTAGGGATGTAGAGATTTGGGGATGTAGAGATTTAGGGATGTGTAGATTTAGGGATGTAGAATTTTGGGGATGTAGAGATTTGTGGATGTAGAGATATAGGGCTGTAGAGATTTGGAGACATAGAGATTTGGAAATGTAGAGATTTGGAGATATAGAGATTTAGGGATGAGAGATTCAGAGCTTTGGATTATTGGAGATGAAGAGATTTGAGGATGTAGAGATTTGGGGATATAGAGATTTAGGGATGTACAGATTTGGAGCTCTGAATTATTGGGGATGTAGAGACTGGGGGATGTAGAGATTTGGAGCTCTGGATTCTTGAGGATATAGAGATTTGAAGATCTGGAAATTTGAGGATGCAGTAATTTGAAGATGTAGAGATCTAAACATGTAAACATTTGTTACTCTATGAATTTAAAAATATAGAGATTTAAGTATATACAGATTTGTAGATCTAAATATATAGGTAAATGTTATATAAACTAAATATATAGGATGTAGGTAAAGAATGTAAAGAATGTAAAATTCAAGAATGTAAATATGTACAAATTTGAAGATACAGATACATAAAGATCTAAAGATCCATTAATATAATTATTTAAAGATCTCAAAATTTGAAACCACAGACATTTACAATGGTATCTTCAAATTTAATAATCCAACAAATTATATTTTGAAAATTTCAAACTTAGAAATTAGCAACTTTCAAAATTTCTCAAAGGAAACTGAGTCTATAGTCTAAAAAAAAGATTCGTATCAGATCTCGTGAAAGAATCTGCAGAAGGTACTGGTATTTATTAGAAATCATCGTTTCAAGTCGTTCACAGTTCGTTAGCCACGGTTGCACTCCAAATATCTCGTGGCTCTTACACTCAAGCACACGCAATATCGATAATGATAATCCTTTCGCATAAATTCCTTTCAAATATTCATCGCAGAATTTTGACGCGAATAATTAGTAACACTTAATTAAAGAATAAAAATTAGCAATCTCGAGATGAAAGATTTCTTGATGATGACTCATCAAGATGAAAGATTCAGAGATGAAAGATTAAAGAAATCTTGAGTGTATCACTAGAATACTTACCAGAATTTACTATAATTGAAAGATTGAGGGCAATTATGTCTTTACCTTGCATCGCGAGCAAGATTCTGACAAGAAGAAATTATAAAAGCGACCTCGAAACCTCGAAAAATACTTATTTAAGGAAAAGCTTGTTTCAGGCGTTACATTTTAAAGTCGCTATTAAGGAAGTGGTATTTAGATGTTTATTTGAACTGGACACGTTTAATATAGCCACGGAGAACGGTTAGGTTAGGTCATACAATCGTGAATGTGTATGACGTATAATCTGGCCGCACTTTCTGCGTTTTCGCAGTTAGAAGGACGACTACATTCACTCCTTAACTTTAATGCGAATAAGTTACACGCTCCATGTAATCTGTAATTACTAGAAACTTCGAAAATATTTGTTCTTTAAGCGCTGATATCTATACATTGCCTCCGCAGTTCAAAAATTTACCAATCTCAATTATTATCAGAATCGAAAGTGTATTTAAATTCCATTAATTCTTAAAACTGTACTAACTCAAGCGTTACACTAAATATGTAAAACCGTTTAAAATTATTTCGCCAGTCATTCAAAGATAAAAAAGTTTCTCCTCAGAATTAAAAGTCATGAGAATCGAGGTTTATGTTATAGTTGTTTTTCAGGATCTTTTTATGATTAATGTACTCTGCGTAATGGTTTCATCGGTCCATGAAACCACCGGTTTCATTAGGAGCCATAGCAATTGAATCGTGGGTAACTGACTGTCACGAACACTTGAATTTTTTGTGTACTCGCGATAAAGAATTGCGGTTGGAATTCTTCTTCGCTAGCTTTCCTTTCGAGCAGAAAATCCTCGTTTCCTCCATCAACTTCATCATAGTCAAATAATTACGATCGGGACGCATTCCTATTATATGACTAGGAAGATTAAGCGAATTTTGTACTGTCAATTGCAAAACGTTCTTTGCAAATGTTTGTACATTATTGTAGCAGCACAGCTACATATAAAGATGCATATATGTAATGCAATAGTAGACTGATTTATAGTAGAAGGGTTCTTTACAATCTTTATTGTAAGACATTTTTATTATTCATTGTTTTTTTATGTACTATTATATTGTTCTATACTACTGTTTGTATATTAGTGTTTATATACAATTGTTTATCTACTATTACTTATATAATATCGTTTATATACTATTGTTTATCTACTATTGCTTATATAACATTGTTTTTTTATTATTGCTTATATACTATTGTTTATATGCTATTGCTTATATACTATTGTTCATATACAATTGTTTATATAGAATTGTTTATGTAGTATTGTTTATATAGAGTAGTTTATATAGTATTGTTTATATATAATTGTTTATATGGATCTGTTTGTATAGAATTGTTTATATAATATTATTTATATAGTATTGTTTATATAGAATTGTTTATATAGATTTATTTATATAGAACTGTTTATATGGAATTGTTTATATACTGTTGCTCATATAGAATTGTTCATATAATATTGTTTATATAATATTGTTTTTATAATATTGTTTATATAATTTTGTTTATATAATATTGTTTTTATAATATTGTTTATATAATATTGTTTTTATAATGCTGTTTTTATAATATTGTTTATATAATATTGTTTATATATTATTGTTTATATAAAATCATACAATTATTTACAATTTTTTATATTCTTTTTTCAGATCGTGCAGAGGTGTCTATTGGCAGCACCGATCTGCTTGCTCCTGTCGATTAATTTCGTCAGGATCGAAGCCGAACGATGGTCAAGACAGGTGTCGAACAGTGAATGGATTCCATTGGCGAACCCCAGGGCCACTCAGACCCAGATCGAGCAAAGTAGCCCACCTGCACTACTGGCAAGCGGCTCTGCACAAGTGCCGCAACTTCCACAATTGTCCTTGCCACCTCCTCTTCAACAACAGTACCAAGAACAACTTCTGCAGCTGCAGAAGACGCAAGAGAGCATACAGAAGCTACTGCTGTTGCAGCAACAGTTGAAGGCCCAACAGCAACTTCTTCAGGTCGAGATTCTTGATATGGTGGCGCAAGACTGGTTAACTCTTCTAACTTTATTTGTACCATCAAAGATCTATCTTACTGTTTGTAGCAGTGGAATTCGAATTGCGTTTCTGTTCTTCTTATATGGAGTTGACCAATTTGCCAATCAAATCATGCATTATTTACTATTTTACACAACTAGTTTTATTTTGGAAGATAGTTAGAAATTAATTGTATGAAATAAGAAAGTAGCTCATTGATGAAGTAATTGTTTTAGAATATATTTTAGAATATTTCTTCTTGCATGTACACAATTAAATAAGCTTGTGTAAGGTTCTTAAATGTACATCTTAAGCTAACCAAGACATTTCTTTTCAGTCCCAGACATTCCTGCCCAGCGGATTCAGCAGCACAGAAGAGGATAAGCAACTGCATCACAGTGGATTAACAAACTCGCCAACGTTGCCCGACGCCGCGTCTGAGGATTTGGTGCCACCCCTCCCAGCATCGGAAGCGTTGCCACCGGTGTTTCCGGCGCAGAACTTCTACCAGCAGCGACCTCGACCTCCGGCACTGCCGAAGCAGGACCTTCCTCAAGAATTTGCGAGCTTGTCCGGCCAAGAATTCAAAGGTCAACTGTTGCCACAAGGTCAGAACCTTGGGAACATTGGGCAGATAGATGAGAGCCAGAGGCAGGGAGCGAAACACCTAACTGAAAGTTTACCGCCAGCTCAGGATGAGGAGGAAGAGGTGATTAATATTAGTAACCTTAATGAAGAGTTTACTGTATTCAGATGAAACGTTTACTGTCTTCAGATTGTTTGTTAAAAGATCAGAGGTTTGTCAAAGACATAAAACAGCGGAGGTAGAATTTGTATTCAGTCAAAGTTGTCAGCTGATCTAACACAGATTTTTTCTTCAGGTACAGTTGGTTTATGTGCCGGCAGAGACGCTGGCGCAACGAGGTCAGCCTAAAAGGGGGCGAGGAAGAAAGCAGTTCCCGCATCGCCAGCAGCACCAGCAACACCATCAAAACCGCGACAATCAAGGTGTCGATACCAGCGCCATCGTGCCTGATCAGGACGCCTACACCCGCCAATTGTTGCAGCAACTACAAATGGAACGCGAAGAGAAAGAGCGGTTCCTGAAAGAGGAAAGAATGAAGGAGATTGCGAGGTTGAATGAGGAGCAGCGAGAGCTGGAGAGGAAGGCTCGTCTTCAGCAGGAAGCTCTGCAAAGAGAACAAGAGCAGCAGAGACTGCGTGAAGCGGAGAAGAAGAGAAAGGAGCTGGAAGAAATAGAGAAGCAGAGAGAACTGGAAAGGATCCGCGAGGCCAGAGAGAAGCAGCGATTAGAGGAGTTAGAACAAAGGAGATTAGCCGAGATTCGAGCGAAGGAGGAGAAAAGAAGAGCTGAAGAGGCGGCTAGACGAAGAGAGGCTGAGGAGGCAGCCAGACAAAGAGAGGCTGAAGAGGCGGCCAGACAAAGAGAGGCTGAGCGATTAGCCGCCTTGGAGAGACAGAAAGAGCAGGAGCTTCAGAGGGCTCTAAAACAGCAGCAGATTCTGGAGAAACAACGAGAGGACGAGGCGAGACTTAGTCGTACGAGACTGGAAAATCAGGATGGTGTTGCGCAAGCTCTCCCTCTGATCAAGGATCAACAGCAACAGCTACATCGCCAACACCTAACCGAAACGTCAAAACCGGCTAAAAGCAAGATCAGAGGAAGGCCTCGTCAAAGACCACACCATCATGATCAACAGAACTATCGGGAAACCACCACTACCACCACCCCCTCCCCTAACCAGCCACCTTTATCGGTGTACATGGGTAGCTCCAGCTCGAAGACAGCTAACGTGAAAGTATCGGACGTGTTGAAGCTCTTAAAAGACGCAAAAACCATCGCTGTTCTGGACACCGTCGGTCCAGACACTCCACAAGTTTTCGTAGGTCCAACGAATCTTGACCCACCTTCGGGATACGCCAAGTTTGATCTTCCGTATCTGTCCTCCATCGATCACAACCGAGTTGAGAGGAAGGTAGACAAATTGCCTTTCTTCGTGGCGCCGCTTAGCTTCGATCCTCCGCCAGGATACTCCAAGATCCCCTTCCCAGCGCCTCATATCGGCTCCGTCGTCGTAAATACTTTAGACAACACCGATCCTAAAGACAGCGATAACCCTAATCCGAGTCCAACCCCGTTGATAGAACCTAACTCTTATCTGGATGGCCTGAATAGCGGCTCTGATTCCTCCACTCCTCTGTACGAGCCACAGACCACCATCGGCTACTCCCAGGATCAGGCGAGTACGCCTAAGTATGAACAAACGTACTCTTCGGCTCCTCCAACCGGGTACTCGGGATCTAGGTTCAGATTTAGGCAGTACTACGGCGACAGCAAGCCAGCCTCCGTGATCACCACCTCCTATTACGACGATCAGAGGCCTACGACGAGGAAACATAAATACTTTGACGATAATTTAAGAACCACCGAGAATCCTTTGCAGAATACCAGAGTGGAGACCTCGGTGAGTCAACGAGAAGAGGTTTCCTACTCCACCACGCAAAGAATTAAGGATGAGTCGATTATTACCGAGGACCCTGCGACCAAGGCTCAGGATGTAGCCGCTCAGTTGGCTCTCATTAATCAGGAACTTGCTCAGCAAAGGGAGGCTCAGAGATATAACACGGCAGGACAATTTAATCAGTACAACACTCAATCTACCACTGGTTTAAGTCACAGCTTCGACGGTGAAATCGCTTCCGGTGATATCAATGATGTTAGGAGTCCTGTTGGACCTACACAGTATAGCTTGCCCGCGGAGCTGCCCGCGATTTCTCCTCATCTACCTGGTTTGGTCAATTCTCTGTTAGACAAGAACGAGGCCAAGCTTCAAACTACCAGTACGACGACTTCCACGACTACCACCACCACGACCACTCAACGTACTCCGACGACTACTTACAGGCCACGCAGTAGACAGAGGTGCGCTTCACAGACATTGTGAAATATTGATTTATGTAATTTGGTTACTATCGTCACTGTTTTCAGGAACAGAGTTGTTTCCACGAGACCAAGGACGACAACTCAGACGCCCTCCACGAGGACGAATGCAGACAGAAGTCGGAGGCCGTACAATAGGTCCAGGTCTAGATTCACTACCACGACAGAGGACTATCGCGAATCTGCATACGAAGCTACTAAATCCAGAATCCCCGAAACTACAGCTAGATACAATGCGGAGCAAAGAAGGCCAAGCAGTAGGACGCAGAAACATAGGAGTCGAGATAAAGCGAGTCAACAGGCTGAAGTAAAGTCCTTTACACTCTGTGTTACTGCACTGAATCGTTCAGTGTCTTATTATGTTCTTTCTTGCAGGTCTTCCAGAGTCAGAACATCCAACAACCATACGAAAACGTTCCGAATGACGCGGTTTCTCCGACGCCATCGAGCGCCTTCCTACAACCGACGGGTCCAGACTCCAGCCTTCGTCAGTTGGACGCGTCTCCGAATCCCCCGGAGAATTATCCACCCAGCACCATCAGCACTACCGAGAACTACCCCTCTTTACCAGCAAGTCACGGATCGCCATTAATTTCCGAGGATTACTCGAGGAGTCAGAACTATCCCCAAAATCTTCCCCAGGATTCGCGCTATCGCGGAGGATACGATCAGAGCGGATTAGAGCAAGGTGGTCTCGAGAACGCCCCGGTAAATGGATTCAATTATCAGACGCAAAACAGGGACACCTACGAGCAGGGTATCCTTCAGAGACCGAAGGACTATCAGCTAGACGGCAAAGCAGAGAACACTGACTTCGAGTTGGCCACCACTGCGAATCCACGACTCAGCGCACAGGAAGAGCAACGTTATTCCTCGGTTTACGAGGTGAACGTACCACAGACGCAGCCGGAGTTTGGTTTGACCGGACAGAATTTACATCGTCTCGAGACCGAGAAGATTCAACCTGGCGCTGCTGACCCCAACGATCCAGTATTTGTCCTGCTGCCGGAGAACAAACAGGAGGATTACGAGCTCTCTGTTTCCTCCACGGAGACTCCCATCTCTGATGTAAGTTCTTGTTTGCTGTCTCTCCAAACTCTCTAACTATTCTTGACTATAAACCTGAGCCATTAACACAATACTCCAAGTGTCACACGCGTGTACTTCTAATTGAAATGAATAAACAAGATTTGAATTTTTGCAGATCACGACAGAGACAACCACGACGAGTACGACCCCGGTGATAATCCGACAACGCGTCCGAGGACGCGTGGGCTCCCGCGTGCACCACGAGCCCTCGGTTCAGACCCGAAACAGAGGCTCCCAGGACGAATACGTCCGTTTCAACGTAGTGAACCAAGAATCAACGCGAACGTCTCCCAGACAGCGAAGCAGAACCAGATCACGAAACCAGAATCACGGGTCGCAGGTTCAGACCGACGGCAACGAGTACATCAAAATCCACGTGGCTCAACAGAAGCAGGTCGCCACCACGACCCCGCAGCCGACTACGACCACCACTACCACCACCACCACTGAACGTCCACCGGAAGAGGATGTTGATTACGGATTTATCAGACCGCCGAACTTCCGACCGGTACATCCGGTGGATAACAGATTCCCGGCACCTGTTACGTTCCGGCCTCAGCTTTCAGAGGTAAGTCGCTTCGCTACATTACAATCGCAATGCTTGATTGATTACCATGATGATTTCATGAAAAGATCATGATGTATGCTGTATACATTTGCTACATTATTTGCTGTATAATATAATATAATAATTTGACACTGTTATAAACATTTTATCTTCCTTTTCAGCATCTTCTGCAGGTGCCGCAGCAATCACTGTTACCCAACGACGAGACCGCAGTGGAATCGAGTCCCCCGCAGACCCAGCTGTTAAAAACCCGTCAGAAATATCAGCAAGCACCTAATCGTCGCTTGCCTATAAAAGCCACGACTCTGCCACCTGCGACCACCACTGAAGCCATCACCACCACAGAAAGAATACCTGTTGCCACGGTGCTGCCGGATGACAGTATATACACCGTGAAACCAAAGTCCCGAACCGATGAGCCTAAGCAAGGCAGAGTAAGAAGCAGAGTTCGACGACCAGGTAGAAAGCGCGTTAGCACGAGCACCACGGAATCGGTACGAGAAGCGCACAACGAGCTGCCGTTGGATGAAAATTATCCTCGAATTCGTCCTCAGTCGACGACTACCGAACAGCCACAACAAGCAAATTTGTACGATGATAATTATGATGGTGCTCAGTATTCTTCGTCGCGCAATCAGGATAATCAACAATTTTATGAGACGTCCAGTGAGAATGTGAGTATGTGAAGGGTCTGTGTTGTAAAACGGTAATCGATATTATCAGATTCCTCTGTATTGGAGAATTAATATTTGAAGATTGCTGGGATTCTTGGAGGGGGTTGTTTGGTAATTGCGATGGCAATGCTTGACATTATTTGTCAATAATCGGTATAGGTAAATAGACAATTAATGGTATTAGGAATTTTCAAACTCTCAGATTTCTAGATCCTTAGATATGTAGGCTCTCTAATTACTTTCCTAGTTCTTAGATTTTCTAATTCACAGATCTGAAGTCTATAGATCTCTAGTTCCCTATATCTTCAAATCAGTAGTCTACATTCCTACATCAGTGCATCTAGAGAATAGACACAGAAATACTTTTAAACCCTTAAATCTCTTCATTCTTATTTACTCTTCTCATAATTTCAGTATCCCGCCGAGTTCATCCTGAATTTCGGCAACTACCCGTCCCAGCACCGCGACGAGTACGACCAAACGCAGCTGGCCAGCGACGTCCCGCGAAAATACAGTCAAGAAACTGGAGCGAAGGCGATCTCCGAAGATTCTCGTTCGACGACGGCAGACATTTATGGTTCGGAGAGTCAGTGGTCCACGAAATTGACCAGGACCTCGTTCCAGCCGAGTTTCGCAGTGAACCGTGTAGCTGGCGAAGCGAAAAAGGATCGCGAGTGGTTGCACGAGTCATCGAAGGACGTTCCCGATATAATCACCGCCGCACCAGAGCCATCGTCTGTCACGCTGCTGGTTTCTTCGGAGGATAAGACTAGCGAGGAAGCGCAGGACGAGGAGTCGATGCTAATGGGTACCACGATATTTGGCAGGAAAACGAACACGCAGGATCACACGGAGAGAATGAATGTTAACGATACCACAACCGATGCTCCGATAATGCGAGATATTAATGGAAGCGAAGCGGAAACGAATAGGGAACCGCAGGAGCCCTGGTTGATAGATAAGGTGGAAAGTTCCACGGAGAAGCGGGGCGATATTGATTTCGAGAAGAGCCTGAAGAAGAGCGGAGAGACCGGTGTTATTAAAAAGGTAGACCCTGTAGAATATAACGCTCCCACACCTAGCTCTGATTCAGACAATTAACAAACGTCCTTCAGTTTTAAATGTACAAGTTATTTTATGTAATCTTACAATGTGACTGCTGTTATCTTAAAATGAAGATGATATAAAAGTTTAACGCTGCAGTATGTCTTTGTAAATGAAGGTGATAGTACAAAAGGTCATTTCATATTCTTTTTGTGCTACGGTTTGTTCTTCAAGACCACCGTTATTGAAGATCGTTACTACTAAAGGCTACTTTAGTGCTGGAACAGCAGTCATTAACGTTGCTTCTGAAAGTTCTGAAGATTTTAATTAATGAAAGTTTGTAGCATCTTACAGCTGTACAATGAAAGAGCATTATGACGAAGCTTATTTCTCATTGTTTTTAAAGTTAAGGCAAACTTGTACAAACTTATGTTCATTTCAGGGTACACGAAGAAGGAGAGTTCGCGTTCGGGTGAGACCAGCCGTAGACGACTTCGTCACAGCCGAGTCCCAGCACTTCAATTCCGCTTTCAACGGCTTGTTCAGAGATCAATACAAGTACAATCCCATCCGTGAGTCCAAGCTTCCAACTTCGTCGAATTCGCCGGACAAGTTCGATGTCCAAGACTTCGAGATATTGAAGAGCAACGAACCGAAGCCTACGACCACCGAAGTACCGGAAGAAGCGTGGACCATGGCGCCTGCAGTGACAACTCCCATGAGTATCCCGGACGATGAAGAGACTACAACGGAGGATCAAGTTACTACGCTACCAACGACGGAAGTACCCGAAGAAACCACGGAGTCCTCCTACGAGGACTTCGTCTCTAGGTTGAGTGAGACCAACGAGACGAAGAAGACAAAGAAAGATAACTGGAGAGAGAAGAGTGTTAGGGTGACCTTGAACCTCGGGTCAATCGCAGACGCGATTAAAGAAAACGATGTCGACAAACTTAGCGACGAATCGAACGAGTTGAAGGGCGAAGACATAAGTTTCTCTGGAACTCGTTCCAAGAATAACTTCGAGAACGAGGAGAAAGATGTTTCTTCGGAGGAGTCAAAGGATGGCGACGATTATCCAAAGAACCACCGAGCGAAATGGAGCGAGGTGAGATATCCTTCCTCTTACGATCATCCCCAAGCATCCGGTTGGAGCTACGAGCCAAAAAGTAACAGCAAACCTCCCAGCCCTATTCCTGGACTGGTGACCAAGGAAGGAGACAGCAGCGTGAAGACGCTCTCCGATTACGTACAAGCGATTTTCGACACTATGAAGAGCGCCGAGGAGGAAACGACGACCGCGAACACTGAGGAATCCACGACCCTTCAGATTCCGCTCGATGATGAGTTCCAGGAGAGAACAACGACGATGGACGTAGAGGATAAAACCACTCGGATCTCCGTTGACGAGGAAGCGCAGACAAAGAGCGACGAGACAGACAGTAAGGAAATGACCACGGAGTCTTCGACGAACGCGGATCTGGAGAATGTAACGACCTTGGAGAAACTCGCCACGACTCCCCAGAGCGTCAGTTCATCATCGGAATCTTCGACAACGGATCCTACGCCAGCAAGGACAACCACATCGCCCAGTAACGCAACGGAGTCCATCCTCGGAAAGATCCTGCGGACCTCCACGACCACCAAGGTCTCCCACATGACGGAAATCTGTTACAGAGGCCGGTGCGTGATGACCAGGCCCAGTCGAGAAGTTCGTTTAAGATGAAGATCATCTACGTCTATTCCTCGTTCATTTCGAAAACGCGGCTAGCATGGACGCTGACTGAACGGGCCTCGTTGTTCGCCATCTTCGTAACCGAGTGATTATTTATTCAACGGAAGCTTTTGATTCTCTAGTGTCAGGGATGAATATGAACAGATTAGAGTGAAGTTTTTACTACAAGAGTATGCTAAATATTTGTATGAGTTTGGAATGGGAGGGGGATGTGAGGGGTGAGTTTCTTGGAGATGTACCAAATGTTTCATTGATACTCGGTGTTTTGTTATCGCAATGTTAGCACTTGGACGACGGGTCACTAAGCATTACTATAATTCTTGCCTGGAGTAGGTCATGCACCCTGTATTAATGGCGTCAGTGACCCACGCCAGACACGATTAAATAGAAGCTTGGAAATTTAAAAACTTCTGAACCTGGAAATTTAAACATGGTCCAAGTGTTAATCCTAGGAAGATAAACGTCGTCCAAGTATTAATCCTTTGAAGATGAAAAATGAATCTGAAGAAGTATCTTCAACGATGTCTTTAAAGGATTGTGCAATAATCAGAAATGTAAAAGAACACGTTGATTGTCATGAATATTAAAAATCAATGCAAATCTTGAATAGCAATAATTTAAAGTAGTTAATCGAAGAATGAATTGTATATATTTTTAATATTTCTTATGATATATCTTGTGGGTCATATTCCCATCGTGTCAGTCAACGTGTTAAAAAGCTATCGATTACGGAAATTAATATGCTCGTTGTGCAGGTTGAAGCGAATCGATTTAATAAGAGATGATTGACTGCAAATCGATCGTGACGTGGCTGTTTATGAAAACGTTTGCTGAACGTTGTCGTGGCAGCTCGGTTCGAAGCGGAAAACGTAGGCCCGACCCAGGCCGCTTTAAACGATAGGGGGCTAAGTCTATTTAACTTAATTACCTGCTGCTGTACTGTTGGTATACGTGTAAGTTAAGCGTTTAAGTATTTTCAATAAAAACACGAAGAAAGCAAGGTCTCCTTTGACCCTCGATAGTTCTTTGACGATAACCACTTTTTTCTTCAAAGCTTAGTAAGTTTTTATACTTTAATTCAACAAAATATGGCAAGTTGCGATTATCAGTGTGACGATATTTTCAGGTGCAGAAAGGTCAAGTAGGAATCGAGAAGCATCAAAGCTCAAGAGATTAAATCATTGGAGAAAGAACAGTGCCAAGAATAACATTCCCATTGTTTTATCCCTTCTACGTTTTCAAAGGATACCCCTCGCTACACTCCTTTCAAGAAGGAAAACAGACAAGTTCTCCGAACGTTCTCGCTCCTTTCGCGTTAAATTGAGCCAACAAACTCCTGAGACTGAAGTTCAATGGAGTTCGTCAGCCCCGTTGCACCCTTTCTAATTAACCGTCCATTGTTCTTGCCAAAAATTTCCTATCAGCGATAAAATCCTATCTAAATTTAATTAATTATTGGATCCAAGGATCAAGGATCAATTTATGGATTCATCTAATTAGAACTGGTGTAATTGGAGACAGTGATATAATGTGTCATGTAATGTGTAACGATGCAATTGGTGTAACTAGAATTTTTATTTTCTCTTTATTTTTATGGGGTTTGAGTCCATCAGTTTTGCTAACATGTCAACATCCCACTTTAGGCATGACCAAGTGTCATTTACAAATTATGGCAATTTAGAAATTTAGATATTCGAATATTTAAAAATTGTAAAAAAATTGTAGAACTTTCAGAAATTTAATGATTTAGAAATTCAGATATTTGAATATTTAAAAATTGTAAAAAAAATGGTAGAACTTTTAGAAATTTAATAATTTAGAAATTCAGATGTTTGAAAATTAAAAAATTGTAGAACTTGAAAATTGAAGGTTTGCACAGCATTACTAACAGCCCTACTTAATGCTCTGAAAAAGGTTCTAGTTACACTAATGGAATTAGGGCAGAAATCGAACTTTGATGAAGGGAAAATTTCAGCAGGTATAATTAGACGAAACTTGATTTAATTCCAGTTCATTCAGCGTTAGAACTCTGGATTTATTTATCGATGCGAATTCGAAACTTTGCGTTTGTTTATCGATGCGCGAGCATCCTCTGAAAAGCATGAAAGATTATCAAAGCGTACCGGAAGTCGCATTGCGATCATTTCCCAATAGCTACGCTTTCCTGCCCTATCGGTTGGCTGCATTCAATCATTGAATCCCTTCTATATCTGTGCCACGAGAACGACACCGTCACATCGTTTCTGATGGCCACTTCGATTCCGGAAATAGGAAATAATCTACTCGATGTTGTCTCGAGATAGACTAACGAATTTAGAACGTGGCCTTGACACCGTCGAAAGAGTCGATTTCCTTCGTTAGGGTTCCTCAATCAGCCGCCATTAACACGTTCCCAATAGGCTTATATTCGAAATTTAATTTTGCCGCGAAAATCGGTTCGTGCGTTCGCTACTTCCGGTTCGTTACTTGATAAGGGTACGCGTCAGATTTCGCCGGCTGTGTGTAAATAAAGTTTTACAGGATTTTAATGAAATTTTAATCATGTACCATGTTATTACGTTAATATTTATCATTTTCTTAACAAATGACGTAAGGTAAGTCGTATTTAAACATATTTACGTTTTTAATTCGTATATGTATAAACATAAATTGGCATAATACATATTTGCCACCGTATATTTCTTTTATTTGATCACTACAAATAAATGAAATAAGTAAATTGTAAGTAAACATACATTGTATTATAGTTAGAATAACGTATTTCGTGAAATAGAATATGTATAACGATTTTTGCGTGTTAACGGAATTTTGCGTCGAAGCGATCGTCGTTTGTTTCTTGGACGTGTCCAAACCTGCACGTGTGCTCGTGGGAGAATTTCGTTAGACGCCGCGACGTATAGACGTGCGAATATCACATCTCTATTACACTTACAGTTAAATTTACAATAAAACATATAATATTAATAATGAAAACCACTTATTGTTAGAAAATTCTGGAAACATTTGAACAATAGACATTCGGTGCTACCAATGAATTCCTTTAAAAAATCAAGTTCACAAATGTTAACCTTAAAATAGCATTTATTTTTAAAATAATTTTTTTTAAATAGTTGAATTAAATAGATTTTATTGGTTTATTTAATATGTTACATTGCAAACAGATTTATCGGCGAATGTGGGATTCGAGTGCATTGAATCGAATTGAAAAAAACTGGGATACAAGAGCGGAAGGTTTTCGTGGCAGACGTGAATGTCAGCCGAATCCTTAACCTAATTTTCATATCATACGGCATACTACATGTTTCCGGTTGTGTCACATGGCGTGGAAAACGGCAAGGAAAAGAGGGAAAAAAAGAAAAAAAATGACACGAATCGCGGCCTAGTCGAGCGAGAAATGGCTGTGGTAGGCGATCGATCGTGAGTCAAATCTGAAGTTCACCACAGATGTCGGTACTGTGTGGAAATGTTTCCTTGTTTGCAGAAAATACGTATCCGAGAAAATTGTAACGCGTTGACGGAGAAGTACGCGCCACTTTTGCGCGGGAAAGGTTAGGCTTCAATTTGACGTCAATCAGGTAATATCAGGATCTTTATTCAATTGTTTCTTATTTTCTGTCGATCATTTTTTGACTCTACTGCATAGTAAGTTATAATCACAAACCGAACTTTCATTTATATCAAAAAACAAAATCATGTGGTAAGGGGTTAAACACTGTGACAAAAGAGGAGCCATTGTTTATTTTTATAACAATATTTAATATTTTCTTTAGGACGAAGGGGTTAATCCTGACAAACCTGATATATCCTTCTCTTTAATTATGCTAATCAACTTTAATATTCAAGTATTGAGATGTGAACTCATTGGAAATTACAAAAGTACACGAACGAGCATGGTAGACCGTTATAAGGAAAATGGCGACGTAGAAAAGATAAATTATATTACTTTTTGATTTTTTATTGGAAAATTTTCAAATTTATAATTTTCTTAAATCTGGAAGAATAGTGTAGAGGAAAAGTATATTCTTCAATAGAAGAAAATGTGTATAGAATGTACTGAATAACAGCACATTATTTGATTGCTTCTTATTGTCAGACAGGACTGTTTGAAATTGAATAACGGTATGTATTATTTAATGCAATTGCATCTTCAAAGAGTGAATATCATAGAATATTACAATTGCTGCAATAAGCAGTATTTCTTTCTCAAGTCGTACAAACGAATTTTTCACATTGCATTTCTGTGTCCGGCATCCGTGATGTGAAAATGAAAACAAATCAACTGCTAATAATCCACTAAACCATCCTCCGCATTCAGCGATTAAAATATTTTAAATTTCTTTCAGCGTGCCAACGTTGCTACCATATAAATGCGCCGCGCCACGATGGTGGCGTCGCGACGCGGCTAGCGAGTCGAGTAGCAGTGGTTGCATAGAGGGAGCGAGTTCAGTTCAGGCGCAAGGGTCCTCGGTTAAGGACGTGACGGTCCTGCTAATCGGGACACTATGCCAGGCGGCGAGGGGTCCCCGATCAATCTCCTCGACCACCGTACATCGACCACTTCCGGCGAGTGCGCGAACAGTGACGAGGATGAGAGAACGACAGCCACCGTTTCCAGCACGATGACAACCGTCTCCGGGGGCGACGGTCTCAGACGGAGGAAGGTCATACACGCGGCCAAAGAAACCCTCGATAAAGGCAAGTCTTTCGACTAATCATCCTTACTCTTTTCCACCACTTCGCCGCTAACGTATCACCTACTCATGATTCATTGTTTTGTCGTTGCTTCTGTGGCAACGAACAACCATTTCATAGACATCTTCAGTGATAAACATCGAACAGAAGAATGGAGGGTAGTTGAATCGGTACCGTTGTCCAGCGGTATCCATATACAAAAAGGACACGAACTTTATGCTTTCTATTGGTCTCACGGGATGCATTTCAGTCAGGAATACAAGAAAGAATCACATTCCCGTTGTCTCGTTACGCGCAGCCACAATTGCCGTCGGCGTTGATGCGCGCGTTCCCTCAGCATCGTTGTAAATACGTGAACACTACGTAGGGCTCGTCTGGCCAACGCTGGGGTCGTTACGGACGCTCGCGCAATAGCACCACCCGCCTCTGAAGGTGTTCCCGTGCTCTGATCAGCGGTGTGATATTATCTCGGACAGTTAGGACTACTTATTTTCGTACAGGATCGATTCTGGTTCCCAAAATTGTCTAACGTGGAATGTAGGTTCTCTTAGGTATACTGTAGCAGAAGCTTACCGGTTGTCTTCAGTTTTGGGGGATGATATATACAATAAATTTGGAAGTTTGGAAATTTAGAAATTATTAAATTTGCAGTTTTACTTTTTAAATTCTTAAGCATCCAAATTTTCAAGTACATAAATTTTTAATTTCCTAAATTTATTAATCCTTAAATTTCCAAAAGCTTAAATTCTTAAATTTACAACTCCTCAAACTTTCAGATCTCCAAGTTCCCAAATTTTTTAATTTAAAAGTAAACGTTCAAATTCACTAGTTAATTTAATTCTTCTCTATGTCGCCATTTTCCCCAGGAAGTCTACCATGCTCTCAGGTGTACATCCGCCCACAGTTCATCCCCTTAGCCCGCGAACGTCACTGTATCAATAGTAATCGCAACTGCGGTCAATCCAACGGATGTCGTATCCTCTGCTCTTTTCATCTTCGTAATCATATCCTAACGTCCTTGTGGACGTTGATTGAGCTTCCTCGTGTCGAGATTACAGTTGTTTGGTCCCCACAGTTATGATAGGGTAGAAACTGGGTTGAAAGGTGGGGGCTAATAATCGCGTGCAGCAATTCAACAACGGTTACATTGTTTCTTAAGCATTGCATTTTTAGCGATACTGATAGAAGTGGAATTCGAGCACAGATGGTCGTAGGCGTTCTTACCCCATCGGACGATATCGTGCCCGGTGGAGTTTCTTCACCCTTGGGTGGTGATGTAATCAGTCACGACTTGACCTTTGACACTAGTGTGACGCGACACTATGTGTGAACGGATGATAATCGAATTAACTGTAGGGGTGGCGAACTTATGGCACGCGTGCCAAGTGAAGCGTACGAATAATTTGTTGGCACGTTAACAATGTACGAGCAGTATTTACTTCCTCTTTATGTAATTGTATTGTTAATTGTAATTGTTAACGCATTGACTGTTATTGTGGTCGCCATTGGCCTCTAACAAATTGTATTAAATTAAATACATAAGAAAGCAAGATAAACAAATTTGTGAATAATTATAGTATTAAACCAGTGTGTAGATAGAGTCATTGATTTAAAAATTAAATTGTAAAATTGCGTATTCGTGTTCTCAATAATATGTACCGTGTCTGACCACATACGACAATTTCCACTGTGACAGTCAATGCGTTAATTTGTAAACTTGCCTGTATAATTCTACAATAATTAATGTATTAGTTGTAAAAGTTACGGCTTGTTACGAGCGTTATAAATGTTTCTCGTAAATTGTTACCACGTGCAGTAAGATTCGCCGCTCCAGCAGCTAATTCCATTTTCATAACTCATCACATGCAAATTTGTTACATGTTTCACGCTGCTAAAAGGATTAATTAACTCGGTAGTGTTTGGTGTTTGATTTACTACGAAAGTTCCGCGCTTTTCAGTGTTGTTTTCATAGCAACAAGAATACGTATGTACTAAAATTTAATGTCGGAATATAAAGTTTACGAGAGACTGACTTTATTCCGCTGCGAAACGCGATTAGTCTTCCGTTTGAAAATTATACCCTTATTTCCGGACACGGAAATCAGATATTTCGTGCATCCTTTTTGATGGAAGGTATTGAAAGTCACGCGTGTTATTTCATCCCAAAATTATACTCTCATTGATGATACAGAAAACGGACTTCCGTTCAATTGCATCCGATTTTATAGTAGCCTCAAGTACGAAATATACCGATGTTTGTTTTCAAACGAGAACTTATAACGTTCAGTTGCTGTGTAGATTCGCGAGATTTTCAAGCGTTTTCGTTTGAAAAACATGGTTCGTTTGCTTCAACGAGTTATTTTTACTTCACGCGCGTTAATGACGGCCGTTCGAGGGGAAATTAAAGCCGAAGAGCTTACACGTTGGCCAGCTTTAACACCAAGGATCGCGTGTGCACGCATTACGTGACTGCAAAAAATCTGTGCATCTTCAAACTTATCGTTTTAGTGCCATAATCAGGGAATTATGTTGTTTAGGTCTTTAATCTTACTCACGCCATTTTACAATTTCTCTTAACTTTCTCTCAGTTTTTAAAGATATTTTACTCTTATGATAGTTATAGTCAACGAGTTAAGTTTACAAATTAAATATTTATGGTAGACTGTTATATTGTCACTTTTGTATGGTCCTTCAGACACAAAGCTTCTACTTCATAAAAAGTTAATACTCTTTTGTAAAGACAATTGTAAAATCTTTGTTAAACGTTGATTGTTAAATCGCTACGCATTATATTGTCACGCGTTGTACTACATATTGTATTATTGTAATGTTACACATTGTCGTACATTGTACCACGCGTAACATATTAGTTGTACTATTATATATTGTCACGCGCTGTACTACATATTGTATTATTGTAATGTTACACATTGTCGTACATTGTACCACGCGTAACATATTAGTTGTACTATTATATATTGTATTGTAATGTTACGCATTGTCGTACATTGTACTACGCGTAACATATTATTTGTTGTATTGTGACATATTGTATTGTCACATTGGCTCGTGTTACCGATGTATCACCGTATGTCATACGTCTGTATTACACGCCATGTATCGCCACTCGCGAATGTTATACACGTCATATATCACCACGCGAGAATGCCACACACGTATACTACCACGTGTTGCCTTACAAAGAAGTGCCACTAGAATGCACTTAAAGTTGTCAATATAGCAAGAGTCTACTATAACATACAATTTTACATTTAGCGAGGCGTTAAAAGGCATGTAAAATAGCATTGCACGTTTAATGCAAAGAACATTAATATCTTAAATATCAGTCCTTCGAATCTTTACCTTGCCAGTCACACGTTGAACTAGTTCATGGCTGTTAAGCGTAAAAAGAGGAAGAAAAAACTCGTTGGAGCGAACCGTTGAATTACTATGGATCGATGTGTAACGCCGTCAAAAACGGAAAGGGGTGATTTCATGAAATTGCAGATTTCGATAGGAATGCGTCGATGCCAGGCATCGGGTTAGGTGTTTATCAAACGAATGTACACGTTTCTGGGGTTGAAACGAGGGAGGCTAGAGTGTCTGTATATACTTGAGCATGACGTAAGAGGGTTCTCCATCCCCTCTGTTACCTCCGAAATGAGTCGTTTTAGGTCGTTTCAGGAACGACTCGGCCATCAATACACGAAATGGAAGTTTTCGAAGATAAACGAGTATTTTTTCCTGTTCTCATCGATTTATTAAACAAACGACCATTAGTAATCGTATTTTATCAAGATTTCGTTCTACGATTTTACAAAAATTATCTCGCAGCGTGTACTCGACTTGAATTAAACCTAAATTTGATGGCAAATATGCATACGAGATTAAATGCGAACTATAATTAAATTGGTATGCAAATACACAGAGGTAATCTACTTTCATTTGATATTATGTAGTTCAATTAAAAAAACATGGTATTTTTGATTGTTTAGGTGAGAGGAAGGAAAAAGTAGAGAAGGTCAAACGTTCAGGTCAGAATCACGAAGCCATACGCACGAGAACGCTGAAAGCACGTGACCGTATCGTGTTAATAACGAATGTCGATCGAAAAGCGAAGAAAAGAGAGGTCGATAATCCAACCTCGAAGTGTCACGGGTTTGACATCGATTTCAACTTGAACTTGCCCGTAGGAATGATTTCCAATCTCAAAAATGCGCGGAGCATTTAACACGTTGACAGCCGCAGTAGAAATTGTTGTGTATAGTCAGACATTTTATAATTCCTGCCTTTCAAACTGTGATTACTTTCGCCTTTTCAATTTGAACATTCTGTATGCTTTATATTAGAGATTCAAACATTTATAGACTTAAAAATCTCCAGTGATTAAATATTCAAACCTCTTAATCTCGGTTCTCAAATTGTCAACAACCACATGACCTAATAACTTAACCTTGATGCGAAGGTTTAACACTGCATGCAGTGTAAAATACATATAATACAGTATAATATATTTGAGAGCACAAGAATCATAGTATCAATTGTTCTCGTGGCATTCAACGTGTTAGTGCAAAAAAATAAACGAGCAGTTCTCAAGGATCGTGTTTTTCGTCGCGAACGTGTTCCTTCGAAGGATAGTGTTTTCACACTGATGTGCACAACATCACGTAACTCGATGGACTTAATAGAGTGGAACTATAGATGGGGAAAGTTGAGCCCCTGCTGCCATGTCAGATAACGCGCCGTTCGTTCGTAGCTTCGTAAAGTTTCCCTTTATTCCTTTCAAGTTTATGCATAATTATAGCTTTGCCGAACGGTTTAGAGACTGGTAACAGTCTCGGATGAAATGCAGTTAGCTTGCTGCGATTAGAATTCGAAGGATGCAACTTAATTAATTCTCTACACCCGGTACAATTAGTTCAGCGAGAATGTATGCGCGTCACGGAATTTCTCTCCTTTCTGTTGTATATTTTATGGAAAAATATTGTGTGACGTTGAAATGTAGAACGGAGACAAATTCTGTACATCCGGTATGATTATTTCTTTAACTTCACGTGGTTTTAATTTATTGTACATTTTATGCGTGGATCTGACTTTATAAAGGGGAGCTTGACAGTTTACTACACTATCTTGGACTATATGTTAGGTTATATTACTGTAGACTGTATTAGACTGCATTTACTAGGTTAGATTGTAATTTACCTCCGAGTATATGTGTTAATTCCATTGTGGAAATTTATCACTTTATATCTTTATAAATGTCTTCTCGTTATAAACTTTCTAGCAATAACTTTTGCAACACAAAATTAAAGTCACTGATATTATTAGCTGATAAAGCTGAAATATGAGGTTAAATTATAAATAGCACAGATGTAAATCTTAAATATTATAATGTATATTTGTATCATAGAATTTTCAGCAGATCAATTTCAAGTTTGCACAATGAGAAGTCTAATAATAAGATATAAAGTTGTATACGCTTTAGGATCATTTCTTGAAAGATTTACAATTTAAATCATCCCTCATGATTTATTAAGATACGACCTACATTGTATTTGCATCAATACAGCTTTTGAAGTTTGTTAGCTTTTAAGAACAACATTAAAGTAGGGACTGAAAACATCACGTATATAACGTAGTTGTTCATTAACAAACGGCTATGAAAAATAGCGCAGAGCATCGCGAGATATCAAAAGGAAGGATTCCTTGATTTTAACGAATCCACGGCGAGCCAGGATCGTTAACGGACAACACGAGTGTCTCTCGAACAACGACTCGTTCTTTTGCATAGATCACGGGGAAATTACGATAGGGTGGTTTTCAACGTCGTTATATAATAAAACGACAACTACAGGGAGTGTCCTTAATGAACTCCTTTTGTCCGATGATAAATTAAATTTAGACGGTACGATGTATCGCTACGTCGTTCATAAAGCTCCTTTCTTCGCGAATTAAGCTCTCCTTTCGCTACATTGGCTTTCGCAATTTTCATTAAAAATAATTATTCGGGAAGGAACAAAAACAGTTCGAATTTATTTCATTCACAAGTACATCTCGAAGCGTTTTGTTCACCGCCGTATTCCTTTCAGTTTCATCGAGAGCGTTGATTGTTTATTAAGTTGAGGTTTTCCTCTCAAGAAATTGTTTCGAGGTCTCTCTCCTTCCTGGGATTGAATTTAATCCTCTAATTCGATTGCCCCTGTTCTCTTAGTCGGTCGATATCGAGACTTTCCTATCTTCCTGAGGAAATTCGGCCGGATCGAGAGAACGCTTATTTATGTCAGTTTTATTCGAAGCGAGCATCAACAACATCTAATAAAATCTTTCCTAGTAGGGCTGTTTTTAGAACAGAAACGAGTTACATTATCGTAAAACTGTAGAGGTTAACTTCCGTATAGCTAACTTTGCACTATGGCAGAACTATCGACAAAACTTAATAGTTATTTCCTAGAACTATCGTGATACTATCATAAAGCCAGAGTTGAACCATTGTGATAATATTATACAACCAATGAATTATCTTACTGCTATAGAACCATTGTAATCATAATATTATTGTAACATTAGCATAAAAATTGTAAAATTTTGTGATGCTATGAATGAATTATTATATACACAAAATAACCTAGCTATAAAATTAGTAATATTATCACAGAGCTGTTATAAAACTGTTGTCATAGAATTTTCATAGAATTGAATTTATTATAGAACTTTCACAAAGCTGCCAACAACCTGTAATACTATTATAGATCTATTGTAGACAGAACCTAACTTAACCATATAATTGGTAATATCATCATAGAGCTGTATAAAATTACTGTCATAGAATTGTCATAGAATTGAATTTATTATAGAACTTTCACAAAACTGTCAACAATTTGTAATACTATTATAGAACTGTTATAGACAGAACCTAATCTAACTATACAATTAGTAATATCATTATAGAGCTGTTATAAAACTACTGTCATAGAATTGTCACAGAATTGAATTTATTATAGAACTTTCACAAAACTGACAACAATTTGTAATACTATTATAGAACTGTTATAGACAGAACCTAATCTAACTATACAATTAGTAATATCATTATAGAGCTGTATAAAATTACTGTCATAGGATTGTCATAGAATTGAATTTATTGTAAATCTTTCACAAAGCTGTGAACAAAGCTGTAAACAAAGCTGTAATACTATAATAGAAGATGTAAATAGGGAAATGTTAAACTGTGAGCAATTTCGATGGAATATAGTAGATGTACAACGCAGGGGTTAAAGGAAGCCCCATCGCCGCATAATCAGGGCAGTACGGCTTGCATCTCGTTATCACGATTATCGCGTTTCCATCAATTACGTGAGCTATTAGGTCCTGGTAATTTACCGCTTTATTAAGAAAACCGTGTGGCCGGAAAATCGATCGTTGGAAAAATTATCAATTGCCACCGACGGCGCTAACGACGTGTCTCGTTAAGGAGACACCGGGACAGCTGTGGTGGATGTTTGAATAACAATACACCTTTCCTTTTACAGCTTCTCGTCTTCTCAGACGGAAGATACCATGCACCGGCCACTTGATGACCCCCCGCCGCCTATGGATACAAAAGGTTCCAACTCAGGTGCGTTTATAATTTTTTCTTTTAACACTGTTATGCAAACAGTAATTTAGCACCCATTAATTCTTCGTTTTGTTTCTTTAATTGCTTATTTATATTAAATTTCTAGCGGCGATTATCGATCAACTCTACGTGTTAACATAATGTGTCATCAATCAATCGAGAACGGTGCAGAGACAGCGGTGTAACAATAGTAACAAGATGACCAAACAAGGATAATGTTTAACGAAGCGAACTTGCATGGTTCGTGTAGAACATTCTTGCGAATAATTTATTGAAATGAATAGCAAACTTACGTGGGTCATATCGATTTGATGATATCGTACTTTACCGACGAAATAAAAGCACGCGATACTTGACTGTTACATACGAGGCTTCCATCCAAATCATTTTCTTCATCATTTTATTTTTTAAATAACTGAACCAATGACTCATGCATAACCTTCAATTCAAACACTATTCTTTCGTAACCTGTATTAGTCGTAACCTATACATTTTATTGAATTCGTAAATGCAAACTTTTGTAAAATATTTTTTTAAATTTAAATACTTTTTCAACGAGTATTGAATTGTGCTTAGTTTAATAATGTGCGTGGCATATAATTAAAAGAAACGTCAAGGCAAGTTATTTGATGAGAAATGTTTTATACGAACAAAGTTTATTGTATAGCGTTCAACAATTTTCTCGCACAAAGCTCTTTTCGTGCTTCTTGCTACAACCAGTTGCACCGCACCCTACATAATAATTACTGGAAGCCTTTATCGGTAGCCTCCCCTTTCCGAACGTGACCACCGATTTGTTTCTATTATTAAGTACCCCTTACTATCGATTTCACGTCATTTCCATGAGGTATACGTCGTGTAACGTGTACGTTGACTGGCTGCTTTCAGAACCGCTTTTATAAAGTACAAAAACGAATCACAAAGCGGATCGGAATAATACGCAACTGGAACACGTGATCGCTTTGTATCGTTGTTTTATCGTTAATACACGAGAGAAGATTGTCACGAATGGTCACAGGGATGTTACAGATCTCATTCAGTTAAATATGTGAAAGGAAAAACTGAATGCGATTAACATTTGAATGACTTGCAAAAGCTGTACGCTGATTACTTCTCTTATTTACGTTATGTTCATCTTTTTTATTTATTTCTTTTTTACTTATTTTATTTATTATGTATTTCTGTTTTTTATTCGTTGAAGCAACATTGTAGTAAACGCTTGACATTTTTAGTAAGACCAAGAGACTCAGATGCGGAATTCTGGTTACATCACTGCGTACTTATCCTTAAGACACTCGAACCTACGTTCACGAGTGCACATTGGATCTGATCCCATCGGTGTTCGAAACAGGTGCAACAGGTGCCGTTGAGCAAAATACCTGTTCAAACGACATCATTTACTACGTTTCTTCTCAACATTATTTACTCCTCAGACTGATTAATTAGAAGTAACCTTTCAGGAACATTGTTTTTGATAAGATTGATGGAGAGAAGTGATAGAAAGAAAAATGGAATCTTTCTTTGTCGAGAAACCTTTATATCTTTCGTTTCAATTGGATTCTGATACTCCATCATCTTTTTCTATCATCATAAATCAACCACAGAATGGCGATGATATTAAACATATAATACACAAACACGCAAAGGAAAGAAACGCAAAAAATGTATTCGTGAAAGCATTATACCGAATCAGCGTTAATTAAAGTGGCATTAAATGGGATCTTATATGTATGGAGTAACTGAGAGAACACTTTCTGAGTCTCCATGACAAACAGAGGATCAAAAGTCTAAGTCACTGAAGGAATGAACGTTAATTACGTTGGATGTAGTCTTATTAGGAAGATATAAAATGTAATTTCTAAGATGAATATTGTAAATCATACATATGATGAGACAGACATGAAGTAATTTGGACAAGCATTTTATACTATGTTAAAAGATATATAATTTCAAACATGTAAATTGTAAATCATACATATTATGAGAAGTGCAGTAACTTGTCAAGAATTTTTATAAAAACTAAGAAAACGAGGGATGTGAATGACAGTTGAAATAGCGAGTATCGTCGAAAGTAGTGGGTCAAGCATAGCATCAGGGTATCATTGCACGTAGATTGGCAATAGCCAGAGCAATCTACTACCGTTTGGAAGTCGGCCAGGCCAAACGACTTTGCTCCTAGTGCCAGGAGTCCGGTGTCCTGCCTACGTACATGGTCGTACAGGGAAATATCTGCTGGAGTTGCACAACACAGCTGTGAAATAACGTCGCGAGACAAATTTATGGCTTTACGTGATAGCGTTTTGCTTCGTGTCTCTGGGAAAGATAAAGAAGCATTAAACTTTTGTTTAAATTCCTGCAACACCAACAGTGACTGTGTTGATGAAAAACTGAGGATAATGGAAGGATTTAGTAAGGAAATTGAAAACTGAATCTCTCCCTGGGAAGCAAAGTCATGGATGGAATTGTTTGGAATAATGTTTGATGGAAGTTTGACTGATTGTAAAGCGGAGGTATAGGATTTGTGAAAGTTCATTGAGAGTTGTTTATTGTTTGTTCAGGAATGCGACGTCGTGATGATGTTCCCCAGCGGAGCGAGCGACGAGACTTTGATGTGGCTTCTAGGTCGTCTCCGGGCTGGAACCCCGGGCCTAGTGGTGCACGTGCGACACCATGCCTCGTCAGATAGCTACAGCTTTTACTTGACAGCCCCTTTTAGCGTGTAAGTACACGCCTCACTAAGTTAAATATTAATCTTTACCTAATCACTACAATATTAGTAACAAGACTTGTTGATGTTTGTATCTTTTTATTTTCTAATCTAGATCTTTGGATTAAGGATTTTAAGGATTTGGAGATTAATGACCTAGCAATTTGGAAATTTAAAGATTTGAAAACTTGAAGATTTAGCAACTTGAGGATTTAAGAACTTGAGAACTTGGAGACACTTAAAAGTTTGGAAATGTACTTTGAATATTTAAATATAATTCAAATATTGTATTGTATGGTTGACAGATTGTTGAAAGCAGCCGAAGAGGTGCATTTACCGAAGACTCTACGACAGGAGTTCGGAGGAGGCTTGAAGGAGTTCGTAGGTTCAGAAGCGAGTTGCTTTGAAGGAAGCGACGACGAAGCTCAATTCTTCACTACTCAGGAAAGGCAGTCATTGGTCCTGCACCTGCTGCATACCCTCAGGGCTGGTCCGCAGGATCTTCACAGTCTACCCGGACTGAAGATGGTCGAAGGACAGGCAATTATTCCAAAGTGCATTTCCTCTGGGATCATTTCCCAGGTGTGTGTATAATAAACACATATCGTATATTACAATAGCATTGCTCTTATATAATTCATTGATAGTACTGTATAATGGATCTGAGATCTGATTTCGAACCAGGTCTTCCCTCTTCACGAATTGCCTGCGTTAGAGAAGTTACAAAGGACTTGGGTCCGCGCGTTCCTCAGCCCCCAACCCCTGGACGACATTTGTAAATACTTCGGAGTAAAGATTACCATGTATTTCGCGTGGCTCGGACATTACACCACCGCCTTGATCGTTCCAGCTGCAGTGGGTGCCATATACTGGGTGAGTGGTCGCAGTAACCACATTCAGATGAAGAGAAAATAGTTTCTTAGATGAAGGAAAAATTAAAAAGTATTTAAACTATGTTAAAATTGACTACATCAAAGTTGACTAAAAGTGACTGCATTAAAATTACAAACAGTTTATATATAAATGCGTTATGTTATTATTTATACAAACTACATAATATAATATATTAACTGTGTTCTTTGATCTCAGATCGGCATCATCGGCAGGAATCAGGCGGTGGAGGATGTAGCATACGTTCTGTTCTCCGTCTTCAACGTAATCTGGGCCACGGTTTATCTGGAAACCTGGAAGAGAAGGGGTGCCGAATTGGCCTACAGGTGGGGTACCTTGGATCAAAGAGACGACCTACTTGTCGAGCCTAGACCTTTGTTCACGGTAAGCACCCAGACGATTATTGACTCTACCTTACCACTTCTCTTCGCCCTCAGACACTACAGACCTTCCATCCTCTGCTCGCAGGGCACGTTGGAAATCTCGCCTGTTACGGGGAGACTCGAGCCAACTTATCCAAGGTGGAAGAGAAACATGTTTCGATACTTCGTGAGCGTTCCCGTCATTGCTGCCTGTTTATTCTTCGTTTTCATCGTGATGATTCTCAGCTTCCAAATACAGGTTGATTTTCATATTTGCTCACACAGGAAGCTCTTGCTGTTTCAATGAGATACATAATTTTGACAACACTTTCTGGGTCAAATAATACTTCAAAACTTAATTAACTGTAGTTCAATATATTTTAGTTCAATAAGTTCGTTGTAGTTAAGCTGTAGTTCAATAAGTTTTCTCTTTTGTTATTATTTTTATTTTAGGAGATGTACATGTTCTACACTGAGACAATCTAGGAACGGCAAGAACTTCTGCACCTAATATAATTTTGTTACATAACAGTGCTATTAAGTAGAACATACAACATATTGATTTGAAGTCTAAAGTTTACTAAGTGCTATACAAACTTCTTATAAACATCTTCAAGTACAAAGGTAGTCAGAGAATCATCTTATCGATTGCCTTCTGTGCAGTAAGATAATTATGTATCAATAGTTTTGTATTAGTACCATCGATGAAAGTTTTGTGCAGTTATTTTCAACAAACGTTAAGCTTCAAATTGATGTTGGCGTTAACTTCCGAAGAACAGATAAAAAAAACCATCCGCACAGAACTTTTTAAAGTTCGGCAAAGTACTCTAAGTTGAATATGCGAAACTTTCCTATAAACTCGTACAGTACAAGAGAAAAACTCAGACAATTTCGTTTCGAGAGTGGAGCGTAGTTTTTGTGTCAACGCCAGAAGAAAAAGCGTCAAGTTTTTCGGCGATGGGAATTAGTTGAACGAATGCCAACCGGTCCTCGATCGATTTGTCATTATGCCATCGAACTTTGATCGAGTTTCGCTTTCACGGAACTTCCAACCATTACCATAAAATTCAATTGGTCGCGACGTTAGGTTGGAATTTTCGTCGCTCAAACTTCTGGAAGATAAATTACTCCCGAATAAAATCTCTATTAACGTAACTTATTGCGCTTCGATTTTAAATTAACTGTGAAAGATTTAAATCTTCGAATTTGGGAATTTGGGAATGTTGAGGTAATTTGTTTGGTAGCTTTGCGATGCCTGGGTGAGAGACTCAGACAGAAATTAAACTATGAAACTCACCTTCAAAAGGAAACTTTTATTAAGCTTAATGCACGCATTATGCTCGCGGGTTAACGACGGCTGGGGCGAAGAGACACATTAGAGAAAACAAAAGAACATTACTTTTAAAAGAAAAGTATAACGTGGATGATTGAAGCGTGAAAAACAAGTAGTCTCAACAGGGAATTTGGGAATTAAGGAATGTGGGAATTGGAAAATGTGGAATTGGAGAACTTGAGAATTTGGAAATTCAGAAACTTGAACCTTTAGAAATTTGAAGACTAAGAAATGTATAATTTCTTAAAATAACTACTTTATCTGATTGCAGGACTGGTGGGATGCACGACTGGAATCCAGGGGCTACGGATTTTGGCTGAGCTACGTGCCAAAAGTTTTACTCGCCGTGGTAATAGCATTAATGGACGAAGCTTACTTCAAAGTGGCCGTATGGTTAAATGACATGGGTACGTACATAAGAGTCAGAAGTAGAACAGAAGCTAGAAAAAAAGAGAAATCAAATTACATACGTGAATTGATTATACCCATTCTTGGTATCTTTCTCAACAATAGTTGTGAAGAGATGCAAGAATGACTACGAATATTTTTTTTAATATTGACTTGGTTGTACTCACGAGACACTTGTGCACGTCTAGATACTTTTTCCAACAGCCTACTAGCATACAACTATACTTTCCGAATCTTTTCACGGCTTAGCTTCTTCTAGAGATTCAATTAACAACTGTGTCCCTAAGTGAAGTATATAATCGAACGAATCTTTTCCTCGTATAAAAATAATGTATTATAAGCGAGAGATACTCTTTAGATTTCTTATTTATCTCTTCTCCCACTTATCTTACATCCTTTTTATTTTTTTACTTCTTACATATTGGAGAGCGATGATGTTACGGTAGATAGTATTTGTGATTTTTATGTGTTGGACGCAGAAAACTATCGGCTAGACACCGAGTACGAGAATCATCTGATCTACAAGGTGGCACTGGTAATAAGAAGAAACTCTCCATTTTCAACGAATAGATTGTGTGTGTGTGTGTTTTGTGCTAGCTATTTATCACTTGTCCTCCTCTAATTAACTTTTCACCATACTGTAAACGAATCTAATTTGTAAATCTTCTTAGTGTTCAACACTATATTTATTTTTATTATGAAATCATTTATTTCACTTCACCCTTGAATTTTTGCATCAGTTTGCATCACATGTAAAACATTTCACTGTAACTGGTAAATAATGAAATTGTAAAAATAAGGATTTTAGAGGTGGACTCATAAATGTGTAGTATTAAATCAATGTCGTCTCGCTTATTCGTTTCTCACTGATGAACTAAATAAGATAATTAAGAAAAGAAACGAATCTGCTCTGGCTGTCTCTGTCGCTGCATGAAAATTCGACTCTCTCGAGATTTATTTTCTTGCTTGCGCTTATTAAAAATACGTGGATGTTATAGTGTGTGTTTTAATTCACCACGACAGATAGAAAGTATACAGAGAAGACTATGTATTTCAGTTTCAGTTTGTAAACTCCTTCCTATCGCTATTTTACATCGCCTTCTACCTACAAGATCAAGAGAGGCTCAAAGAGGTAAGGATCCCTTTATTCCCAGTTTCTTCCTCTTTCTTTCTCTATTCTATTTTATATTGAGAATCTTCAGTCGAGAATGAACCTAGTAATTTTTATCAATATATTAGATCACACTATTAAGATAGATTGATCTTGTGTATCTTTCATTTGGTAGCTAGAAATTTTAGAACTTAACGTGTCTTGCTACAGTGAAAGCCGTATGTAACACGGCACTTTTCATTAAATTAATGACTAATTTACTTTGGTATTAATATCTTTCCTTTCTTTTACATGAATTTTTAATGATAACGCGTTACATAGATATTTCAATTTTAAGGAAAATTGTAACTAATATTTTTTCATAATTTATAGGTCATTTTTGAGAACATTGGTGGAAGGTGTCAAGTTTGGTTCGTGTCTTTTATTAATCATCACTAGAAGATTTAATTACATGGTCAAGGTTTGGACTATAAGTAGACTGATATGCCTGTCGCTGACCTCCTGGACAAATCTCACATTAGTATCCGCAGAAGAGCATAGTATGAAGATCAAGTTGATGAAGCGAACACTTTCTGTGTCCCTATTAACTCATTTTGGTGGTGCTAGAACTAGAAGAAGCAAAATACTATAATTTTAAAATACCAAATTTGCAAAGTCTCAAAGTTTGAAGGTCACAAGGTTCCAAAATTTAAAGCTCTAAAGTCACAGATCCCCAAAGTTCAAAATTAGAAGACACTCAAATCCAAGATTCTAACCTATCTTCAAATATCTCAAGATCCCAAATTCTCAAATCCCAAAGCAGCAAAAATTATAAATCATAGGCATTCACGCTCCAGCCATCTAGGCAATAACATAGTAAAAGACCCTAACCAAACTCGTCACTCAGCACCGATGTTCACAAACAAACAGTCCTCTCTGCAAACTCGTCAGCCGTTCTCCAAGAAACTTTCAGGTTACTTCGCCCAAACTTCCCCTACCGAATCAGACAGGACTTGCGCCATGTTGCAAAAGCCATCGACCCAAAATCGTACCTATATTATCCTTTATCGTTTCAGCAACTGGCCGCTCTACTGATAGCCCGTCAGGTGATCGGCAATCTGAAAGAGTCTGCGGTACCGTATCTGATCGAGCAGCTGAGGTTGGCACGTTTGAGCTTCGAGCTGTTCGGAGCGTTAAGCCCGAGCGAGGCAAGGCCACCCCCAGGCGAGGAGAATGCTGAAGAGAGCCAGAAGGACTCAGAGGACAAAAGCGAACGATCCGAGAGCGGGAAGAGCACGCAACCGAGAAACGTCAGCCAAGCTGAGCTGGAAAGTTCCCTCTACAGAGTAGGGCATCCCACTAATTCTCTACTTAGTGACGTTACGTTCAAGGTTTGGTCTAGATTTAGCTAATTTCTTTCGTTTACGATGCACCTTGCGTTGCTCGGCGAACCTGCGACGCATTGGCACTCGATGGATAAACAAAATTTGGAGTCTTCAAGTTTATTTGTGTTTCAGAACCTCTTGACAATTGACTGCCATGGTGAGGAGATTTAACTAAATTAATAATCCAAAGGAAGAACAAGAAAAACCATCAATATTGAGTCAATGCCATTAATAAATTGCAAGATCAGACAGGGTGCTTATATATCCATTTGCACCGTGGTAGTCAACCTGTTAACTGGTTATACTCTGAGTTTCAACAAAATTTTAATGTCTAAACAATTGGTTCGATGAAAGATCAAAATGGATGGAAGAGGTCGATGCCATAATTTGAGATTGATTGTAGAAATTTGAATCGAGATTGCTAAAGCTGTCGGGTTCTGTCATTTATCATACCATCGATCACTTCTACGCTCTGGTATCACTTTGACGATCCTGGCTTGCCTGTATACAAGTACTCTTCTTTTCGTTCGTTTCGTTGGACTATCCTGATCCTTGTGCGACAGACGAGAGGAGATCGGTTCTCGAGCAGACGGATGCGACCACCCGAAACGTTGTCCTATGTTGTCTGATCGGTTCTTTTTGCAGAATTTTAATCATTTTTTTCCCGTTTTCCAACGTTCCCGTCGACGATGCGCAGGTATCGACCAAAAAGGTAATGTCACCGTTCATCCTATCGTTAAATATTTCACTCTTTCAATTACCTGTTTAAATAGATTTACATATATTTATGCGAGGTACATTTTTATTTTAGATACGTTATGATATGATGTCTGTTATCTAGTGGTAGTATAACTTTCGTTATATTGCCACGAATGAGACTGTGGACATAGAAGACTGAATAGATGATGAATGATTTAAATTACAGAAAATAGTAACTGAAAGGGTGAACTGAAGAATCACGAGCTTTCCACGCTAACTTCACATTAAGCGCTAGCTTTTTATTTTTCATTTGACGAGAGTAGCTACCCTTTGCACCACCTACGCTAGAGATTCACTTATACACCTACTAGAAATTATTCCGCTGAATGTTCCTTATATGAGCACAGATTCTGTTGCAGTTTTATTATAAATAAGTAACGATTAATGTCATATTTAAGTTTTATGAATAATAAACCAGCAACGAATCACAGCGATCTTAAATAAACTATGATGTATTATTAATTCTATTAATTTAAGTGATATATTACCAGATGAGAATTTATGATATGTTTTGTGAAATAGTACTTTAGACTGATTGAAAAATTGTATTCTATTCGCAGTACGATGGGGCGTTTTCGGAACACCTAGAAATGCTGTCGCAGCTGGGATACGTCTGCCTCTTCTCTTCGGCATTCCCTTTGGCTGCAATGGCGGCGCTTCTTGGAAATCTTCTCGAGTTGCGGGGTGACGCATTTAAGCTTTGTTTCGTGTTACAACGACCCTTTGGTAGAAGGGTCTCTAACATCGGTACTTGGCAAGTGAGTGATTTTCATCGATGACTATTCAAATTTCAAGTCAACAACAGTGTAATAGACTACAACGCTTGATCTATTTTATAGAACGCCATGGAAGCAATGGGACTCGTTGCTATCATAGTAAACTGCGCGCTGATCGGTCTAAGCGGACAAGTGCAGCGAATGTTCCCTGAAATGTCCGCTACCCAAACGATCCTTCTCATAGTTGCCCTGGAACACATTATGCTTGGAATACGGTTCATTATAATATGTGCCATTCCGGACATTCCACATTGGGTAGCGACGGAAATGGCTAAAGTGGAATTCCTGAGGAGGGAGGCCGTTAGGAGGCTCTCATCGACCCCGTCACCAGAACAGCAGCCAGCTACGGTGATAGGTGGGTGGATCACGATAATTTAGCGCAGCAATCTACCCAATTCCTGATCCACCAACCTTTCTGCATTTTCCTCTGCTTCAAACTCAGCCATGTAACAACCTCATAAACAACGTTCCTGCTTATGAAACCCGATCGATACAGAATCAATTGGCTCTGCCTAGGAAGATCAACTTTCAAACTAAATTAATAAATGCACTAGTTATTTCAAATGAAATAACTAAACCCATGTTTTAATCAAAATATTTGTCCTCCATCGGGTAACATCGCTCACTTCGTCCTCCCTCCTACCATCTATTAATTTCACTCGAACTCAGGGAGATTCGTGGTGAGTCCAGCAGACGGAGAGAGCGAAGAACAGCAACTACTTTCCGACCGCACCGGAGATGCAACGTCCTCGAGTCTTCCAGACACACCGACTCTGGCGTCAACCACCCAGACACCGAGCAGTCCTCCGACACCAAGTGCAGCGTCCGTTCCAAGGATCTCAGAAACACCTTCTGCGGCTCAGACACCGGGTAGCGCGGGTAGTAGCGACGTGGGGACACCTATTTTGACAGAGAACAACATGGGCAGCGTTCGTGACCTTCACAATTCACCTAGGTGCTCTATTCCTGGTGGAGAACGAGGTTCGATTGCTTTTTCTTCCTCAGTGACAATGTCTGTATCAAAAACTTCTTATTCAAGTGTATAAAATTTTATTTGTATAGATTATGATAGATGCACCTTCAATGCACATACCTAGAAAGAACCCTGGAAAGTTTATAAAGTTTAAGATCTAAAAAAGGGCTAAACAGAAATATTAAAATAGATACCAAGTGATTTGCAATGTTTATTAAAATGAACATGTATTAATTTTTTTTTGTTGATTTACAGGAAGGCGTTCCAGGGAATGGTTATCGACAGAGCCAGAAGCATCAGGAGGCTCGGATCATTATAGTCATCATTTAACGATCGGACCTCATGGAGGCGTAGATTGGGTTCGAAGATTGGGTCTCGAGCCTGGTGGTCGAAAATCCAGCGATTCCGAAATCAGCGGATCCGGTACAGTCAGTGGAAGTGGTGACGAGTTGACTCTTCACAGATCCACCGACTGTATCGTCTCAAAAGATCTTGCTTCTTCGTCCGACAGTGATCTTCTTCGGTAACGTTCCTATATAACCTTGTATATTTTCATACCATACAAATGTTAATTTTAAAAAGTTTCACAATGTCCAATTCTTTGTTCCAAAGATCGGCTCCACCGTGGACGGTAGCTCACAGAAATCAAAAGTTCCGTTTCTCCCCGGAGCGAGAGAGGGAGCGAGAAAGAGCAGAGAAGCAACAGTATCAACAGCATCAACGAGAAATCCAGGATCACAAACAAACATACTATGCGGAGAAGGAGAAGGAAAAAGAGTCGAGCGGTCTTTCAGATTCCAGCAAAACACTTTCCAGTCAGGAAGAGGAGAAACCGTCGAAGGAAGATCGAGAAGCGAAGAAAACAAGGGTGAAACAAAGCTTGATGAAGAGAGCCAGATCAGTGGCGATATTCTCGTTGAAACTGAAAGAACGCAGAGCCAGGGAAGCGGAGTTGAAAGCGAAGGAAGCTGAAAAAGAAGCTAGGTGGCAGCAGCCTCAGTCGTGCGTCGGTGGCGAGCTCTCTTGCATCCCCATAGAAAAGCTTATATCCGTGGATGACATCGCAGCCATGGAATTACGCAGACTTAATCATTAGCCGCTTCAAGTTTCACCTTCGTTTTACACGCTACGTAGAAACGTTCGTCCGCGCCAGTGATACTCTCTATGAAAAAGGAAATCAGTATCGTAAAGATTGTTTCGTGATGATCGGTCTCGAGTTTTGCAAAAACCTTTGAAACATCATATCAATAACGAACGTAGAAAAAATGAGGTTACGGGGATTGGTCAATTGTTTTTTCGTTTAAATGATAACGCACACGGATTGTTTTTCGTGGATCTCTTTTTATCCGTCTCTAATCGAGAAAATTTCTATGTCGAGTAACGTATGTAGAATAACGAAGTTGGACGAAAACTTGCTCAGTTTATAATTTTATAAGATAACGATGGTACTATGTTTGATTTAGAGATTAATAACAAATACGAAATGTCAGTAACGAAACTTCGCAGACCTCTTGTAAAACTTGTTTCCGAGTTGAGTCTATTTCTTCGCAAAATTTCGAGTGAGTATCATTCGCGTACATAAGACGCGCGGGAAACTCACAAGGATTTTTGAAAATACGGGAGAGACTACGATCATGAGGTTTCATCTGGATGTGTGAGAATGAAAAAACTGTCAATATATAAAAAATGAAAAACAAACAACGGCGCACAAAGTAAATTGAGTCACCACAAATTCTAGACAATGTTCTATAGAGTACAGTTTATAGAGTATCATTCTTAAAGGTCACATTTTGGGTAGATTAGTTGATACCTCAGAATTGTAGACTGTAAGCTCCAGGTTTTATGCCATCGATATTGTACCGATTGTTTTTAATTTCTGTACAATGGGAGAAGGAAAATTAATAATGTTCGATTCTCTAATTATCTTTAGTTGAAGACGAAATGACAACGAGTTTAAATGATTTAGCGATATAACTTAACACGCACGTTTTTACTTTCCAACGTTTTATTCCTCCATATTGATTTTCATTAAGACATACAATTCAAAAAAATGTGCGGGTTAATACTACATGAAAGTCACGTGTATAAATCAAATATTCTACAGTAACCGTTCGCTAAATGAGCGCGATTAAGAATCAAAAGGAATGTCAACCGAAGTCCGAAGTGCAATTACGAACATTTATTTAATTTAGCGAACAATTACTGTACTTATGCGACTACCGTTGCTACCAGTAGTCGGTCAGGTATTTGACGCGAAACGAAAAAGGGCGACGGTCTCATTGTTGTTGCTAACCTGTAACTTGTTACGTCGTGTTATCTAAATGTTTATCAGTTAACGAACTTTCGTTAAAACAAATCTCCACGATATAAAGTACAGATGCACACTGGTTAATATGCGCCTACATTAACGAATTAATTGACCGCAGTTTTCGTTCAACGAAGCACCGTACACCGAAATATAATGTATTTTACTTTGCCGCTCGTGGAAGGTGAAATGTAAAGGAGAAACCGGAACGCTTAGAGAAAAGAAAGTTAGTTCGGTTGATAAGCGAAAACAAATTTTAGGGACCGTTTTTGTATATAGCCAACCGTTTACACAGCCGCGCGCAATAGTGAAATTTGGTTCCATGGCCTAGCTTAAACATCCCCGTCCGCTGCTGATTATAGCCGAGTTGTTCTCACTGAGGCACTTTCTTACGTTTCGAGTTTTTAAACAACCACAAGCTAGTGTTATGATTAGATGCGTCAACATTTTTCGAGCACACTGTTGAAGTTAAATCAATATCGCATTGTACTTTAGCGTGCCCTTCGGGAACCGCAAGACTAGAAAACAAAACCGCGAAGTCGATAGAGATTTAGCCGCTTCCGTGAGGCGAAGTTTTAAAAAAATGTCAGCGAAAAGCATCTGTGTTTGTTAGATGTTTTGTATAAAACAGGAACTGAGCCAATAAAAACATTCTACGAAGGAACAACTTGTTCCTCAATTTTTCCTCTTTATTTTACACAACTACTTCTTGACACCAAACGTAGACAATATCTTGTTGTTATTTTTGTAGGTTATTCAATTTGGTTTTGGTGCCATTCCAAAATAACACGTTAACGCCATCTAGTAGGAATGTACTATACTATAATTAAAATGTGAAGTAAATTATCGACCGAACTACATTTTTTAGTTTTACACGTTTGGTGCAGCACTTGCTAAAAAACAAGAGCCAATCAGTGATGAGATATTGGCCGGGTTTTTTCGCGCATGCGCGGCCAGTGTTGGGCAGTCGTGAGATTTTATCTCACGCGAGAGCTTTACGCGCATGCGCAGTGATGAGATATTGGACGGGTTTTTCCGCGCATGCGCGCCAATTTTAGTCTCAGTAAAGTACAAGTTTCAATAAAATAGGGTACCTCAATCAACCCTCATTATTTTTCAAAAATTTTTATAATTTGGTTGTGAAATATGAATGTATAGGTTGCATAAGATTACATTATATACATATTTTCATATTTGAGGAGCAGATGGAAAGGAAAGGTACTATAATAACTGCAAGCAAAATATATAATAAAGCCACCTAGTGGCGCCACTAAATACATACGCTGCGTACGCTCTTGCATTTCTCGAGCATGCGCGCAAAAACCCGTCCAATATCTCATCATTGCGCATGCGTCAGCTGACGTCACAGCTTGCTGCCAATGCCGTACCTAGCCGGTACACGCAGTGGTGACTGATGAGGGCACCTTAGTGATCCTACATAATTTTTCAAAAATTCTTATAATTACACTGTAAACTATGAATGTATAGGTTGGGTTAGATTACATT